ATACTCACCGGTGGAGTAGTAGCTACATACGAATACACATTCGTTATCAGGTATCTGACTGGGTTGGAGCGCCCAAATGAGTGTCTCATCCCACGGTTTATAACGCACATGGGATTAAACCTTCTTTCGAATCTTTTCAGCTTGTTTCACATTTTCTTAAATGGTACGAAGACGCTTTACTTTCATCACCAAAGTATGTTCCGGACTGCATCACCCATGAATGAATTATAAAGAACAGTGTTATGTTGCTTTAGTCATCCCATTGCAGACATTTTGAGATTACAGCATTGTGGAGTTAGTCGGACCCGTGGCCCCCGGCTCGGGAGACGGGACGCCAAAAGACGATCACCGGATCATTCAATATCCGCGCGGCAAGGCAATGGCCTATCTGTGGCATGCGCTGCTTACATTAAGTCCATCCTTGTTTAAATATTATAAACCGCTGTTAGTTGCGAGGGTTTTCCAAAAACAATATCTTTGCCTTGTGGCCTTGAGACCGTGAAACTTGTGGATCCATTGTGTGCGAGTGTTTGATAGATCATAAACCAAAGGAGATACCGTAAAAAGAAAAGGTGCTGGCAAATTTCGTTCTGCGGGGCTACACAAATACATACGAGATGATATGCATCTACTGATACGAGGAACGAGACCGAATTGGTCGAACTCAATACCAGGTCGCATTTCTGGACACGGACTCGAATGTGTGTGTGTGTGTCCCCCCCACGGCACCGCGAGCATAGCTAAATAGGTGAATTACGACCCAGTCTGTGCCCCCGAGTTTAGAAGGATTTGGGTTCTTTACGCCCGCCTAGTCTAGGAATCGCTCCCGAATCGTGGACTAATAGATACGGATCTACATACGTTGTCTAAAAAGTAGCTAGCCTGGGTATATTCAAGAGGGATATCCCGGCATCTGAAAGCAGCAGACTTGGTTGACAAGTAAGGTTATTGTGGTAGGTCTCAGCCTCGGCTTCCGACGCCGGATATAACCATAATCTACATAGAGCAAGGGCAATAGGCGTGCAGTAGCCTGGAAGCAAGGAAGGAAACTCTCCGCCCGGGCCATACATAATTGGCCGCATAATACTGGGTTGACGCGGATTGATGGAAGGGTCGTCTGGCATCGGTGAATAATTTGGGGTGTAAGCACGGAGGAGGTGATATATAAATGCCTGCGTTTAGCTGTATTGGTTTTTATGAGTAGTCACCTAGCTTGAAATGGGACGAGAAGGAAGATAATTGCTTATTTTAAATGTTTGAGTGAATCCCTAGGAACGAACAGCAGGGCCTGGTTGCGGCCGTATATATCGATTGCCCTTCCTTTTGAAGCGTTTTTGGTATGACGAGTCGATAGTACATTGACTCATGTATGATTGGGGAGTCCTCTTAATATCTCTCAGTCGGTCTCATCGGTTGAAGTGAATACTGCCCTGTGTATTCGGCAAAATCATACATTCATGCGGCTTCTCTCTGCATATTCTACATAAAGAAATGAAAAGATGGTAGAGTAGTTATTTGAAGAGTGTAACTGGTTGGGTTAGAGAGGTGTACATTGAGAGACTACTGACGATCGTTAATTTGTACAGCAAGTAGTTTGTAGTTGTATGCTCCTAGTAATAACAATATCACATTTCCCTCTATTGGATATGCTTGATCAGCGTCACATACATTAACCAGTTCTTCAAATCCTGTTAGACCAGAGTAGATAAAAATCGCAGCGGTCTCGCGTGTTGCTTCAGGTTCAGTCTTTTTTGGAGCCCAGTCTCTTTCAGGTTCTGCTTCTAGAATGCTCACCCTCTATAAAGTATCTTTTGCTATTGCGCTGATTTCTCTCTGCTTCGAATTGTTTATTCGAAGTTTTCTCACTTCAATCAAGTGATCATGTTGTATCACTCGGAGACACTGTGAGTGAGGTTCGGTGTTCGACGGAGTGTGTCTAAATCGTTAGTTGGCCCAACATATATGTGAATAGGTATTGTAGTTCGACCAAATGAAGTCACGCGAAGGCTGTGAAACAGGCCACTTGAAACCTACAGGCCGAAAATTATGTCCCACCGGCCATAGGCACATCCAGTTGGCAGTTGCAAACCAAATAATTACAAACCATCATAGCGGGTTGGATACGGTAATATCGTGAGAAATTGAGCATCTCATTGTTTATTAAGATATGTAAAGACAAAAGAAAAGTAAAGGTACCCCAATTACTGGCGTAGTTAATTTGCACCCTGTCTGCGAAAGCTTTTAATCGAGTGCTCAAGACGAACGCTCTAGGCAAGCTACTGTGAGGAGATTTACACTCGAATTTTAACCTATCCAAGCCGGCAGATAGAAGCTCGTTGTATATCTTAGTATGTTTCGGTCACTCACCGATAATGAAATGTCTGCAGCGTCACAAGGGATGAAAATGTGTAATAAACGGTTCAATAACTAGTGGTCCCGCAAAAATACACATCGTTTCAAAGCTCTGTAATATATAAATCTAAATTCTCCCCAATTATTCTGTCACAGATTATCGAGCTCTGGATCTAGTGATTCCCTATGATGGGTAATGATCGGCGGCAAGGACCAAACCGGGGTGGCTGTTCGCCTGCAGCTCAGCCACTGCGATGCTGTCGAAATCCGGCTTATTCCGCCTGAATGCAACCCAAAAATTCAAGCCCCGTGGTCAATATTGTCGCCTTGTCTTGCTCATGGTCATTCCCTCATCTCCACCTCGGATCGCCTTGACTTCTTCGTTGATAGTTGAGGGCTACGATTCGCGACACCAGCACACGCTTCCGCGTATAGGAGACGATCGTTACACCTGCGCTCGACGGTTACTCGCTTCACGATCTGGTGCCGGGTGGGATATGTGTGTAGAATAGGGCGGCGGAAGTTCGCAATACCACGACTGCGGGGCTGAGCGGTCAGGCAAGCAGTGGCTTGCTTGCTTTTGCTTGCTTTTGCGGGTTGGTTAGTTGAACAGCGCATATCATAATACGCTATAGCTACTTCATTATAAGGGATACCGACAACAACATTCAGGGACAAACATCATGGACGCGAATATCCAGATGAGCCCCACTGAAAAACCCCTCGTGAGTACCATCTCTCATCCCCTACCACCGTTCTCTGTTCGCCAGCAGTACTGACAAGTCTATACAGACACCCCCGTACTCTGCCGCCCACCGCCTCCTAGTTCCACCTCATAACCAGCTCACGATTCCACAAGACCATACTGTGATACCCTATACCACTGTTATCCCCACTGAACGACTCAAAATTTACCTCACCAAAGTTCTCGATGTTTCACGCCTTAATTCTATAGACAAGCATCTCAGATACGCCTCCCGACCGGCGCCCACGCGGCCCCTACACCTTCACAAATCTCTCAATCACACAATCGTGGTCGATGAGCGTCCCGACTGGCACCTAGTCACCTGGCGCACTGGAATCACTATCAAACCTCTCCCACGATTCCTCCTCGACTATGAATTCTTTACCACACATCTCTGCACCTCTCCCTCCCTACACGCCAACGCCTCCGGCATGTTGCTCTCCTACGCTGACCTGATCCGTACTGAAAGCGACTTTGCCGTGGCACAAGACCACCGCCTACTCCCACGCTCACTCGACTGGATGGCATGGGCTGCATTCATGGCAGACGTGCAAGCCGGCGTCGAAGCCGGACATACTCGCATCAACTCGCGCTATCGCTTCGGCGAGCTACGACGTACCGAGCTCCTACTCGTATCTTGGGCGCACCATGGTTGGCGCCGACGCTACTACTATATCTTCTCCGACTTTGTGACATTCGGACTTGCAAACTACGGGCGCTTGATCGCTGTGTTTGCAATCATTACAATCCTGCTCGGTGGTCTAAACCTTGGCCTATCAACACGTGGAGGGAAGATTTCATGGTGGGTTGATATGGGTTGGGGATTGGCTCTGGGCGTGGTTGGTGTTGTGTATGCCAGCATTTTCGGACTGGTGTGTTTATTTGTAACGTACTATGTGGGTAACATGTGGGTCAACTTGCGATATGATAGGACAGTGCGACGCGGTGGTTGGAGAAGAGGCGGAGAGGATGGTGGGGACGAGATCTCATGGGGCTACGAGCCTAATAGCTTGGTTAGGAGGAAGACACCAATGGTGGTGTGAAGACGAGCATTGTGTGGACAAATATCGGATGCATAGAGAATTCTCTTGGCGCGTGGACAGCAGCAGCCATTACTAAGTAAGGACACACGATATCTGCTAGCCTGGATACGGCACATAATTATGCCTTATTCTCAACCACGATTTAAAGATACAAATTCCTCGTTATATATACACTTTGTAAGCATGATGTAGACCCTTCACTATGGAGCACTCACCCATGTTGCCTGATACTTGCCACTCGCTCTGCCATGCTATTGACATAGGTGAATAGTTGTAGATCCTGTCTGAGGGAAATTCATCGACAAGATGTTTATAGGACCAAATTTTGGATAAATCTGGCTTGGTAATTTGAGCTATTCTAAGAAATACACCTAGCAAGTACCTGTAATAGTCTTTAAACGTGTCGCTCTTTGTGGGTATGGAATATTCATACAACTTGGGTGAGCCTTGTGATGATATTATATACACTTCGCAAAGTTTCATAACGAATGTTGATTGTTAAAACCGATTAGGTTGTAAGGGTTCAACAGTACTCTTCCCATGCTCTGCTATATATAGGGTGTTTCATCGTTGCCGTTCTCCGGGTACCCACTACTTCCTTCTGTGTCCTCTACGCACAGATAGTAAACTCTTTGTTCCATGTAGCACTGTCTATTCTCTCATCTAGTAAACCCCACTACCACCCACTATTCTTATTACACGTATCCACAAATAACGTGGTTGTGTCGGTATCTCCACAGCAACATCTCACACGGCTCCATAGCGCCGCACTCGCGCAACACGCAAAAAAGCACCATTCTAACTATTGCAACCTTTTTCAAGTGGTTTTGTATTAAAATTAGCTCCTGGCATAAAAAGATTGCCGCCTGACGGAGTCGAACCGTCGATCCCCGCATTGATCCCTGGTACGAGTGCGATGCCTTACCACTTGGCCAAAGCGGCTACCATTGATAGATGGTGATGCGGCCAGGCGGTAGTCTAAATGGGAATTACAGTTAGATTGTTTTTTGAAAGGTTTACTGTGAATAACACAGAGAGACTGTCAACTCGCCTGGACGTTGAGCCGAGTGGTGATGGGCATAGGGCCAGATTTCTTCATATTTCTTAGTAGGCTATAGCCGTGCTAACTAGGTTTCTATCTAACTGACCGAGCCTTTCGAAGATTTAGGCTAGAAGTTGACATTGGATATAATATCACTTGAAGAACAATTTGTAGATTGTAGTCTGATGGAAATCTGTTAAATCGCAATTCGCCAACTAGTAGGACTATATTAGCCGGACTGGGATTTTGTTTAAATCGGCTGTTGGGCTATAGTCTTGTTTAATTCTCGTGATTGGGCTATAGAAGTCCACTCCTGATAGACGTAACCAGTTTCCCTGTTATTCCGATCTATATGTACTGATTTCATCTATTAAATCGTATCCATTGATGCCCTTTGGTTTGTTGACGGATCAAAGCCCCTCAAATTATCTTTCCCGGACGACATCCTAACGATAGCTTGAGATTGCTGTTGTCCACAGTGCATACCTTCTCGGATATATCACCTTAGTATCTCCGCTTCATTCGCGTTCAAGGCTGTTTATCGAAAGACCAGCTAGATGAGCCCATCCCCCAAAAGGAAATACCTCGATGCTGAATAAAAACACAATTCATCTTCTGGAAGCACCCTCATTGCTTCAAACGCTAAAAATTGATCTATATCCAACGTCGTACATGAACTAAAATATGAAGTAGGTAAAATTAGTAGCAGTGGAAGCACGATAGCTTCGGGGACCTAGCAATTTTTTTAGAGGTAGGATTAGACCTTGCTCAAGGGACTGCAGGCTCTGTAACAGATCCTATGGAAGATGCTCGGATATAGGCATCGTACTGATATAGCTATCAGCGGTGCTGGCAAAATTTGCTTCAGGGCGGGAAATAAAAGTGAAGACTGGTTCTGAATTGGGTGATAATGTATGATCCTCGCCGTGTTGAAGTACCTCAGACTTGACAAACCAAATGAAAAAAAATTCAGCTTGTAGACTATGACTCCCACCTGGTCAATTTTTAAGGTTATTATATTCGATTGCACCAAACTTTTATTCATTTTAGTTGAGTTTGGGATTGCCTGGCAATGCGGCTCTTCAGCAACCTAGACATTGCTTCACACATGACCTAGGACAGCATTTCAAGCAGCCACAACCTCCACGAACTGCCAGCACCTCTAACATATTACTGCCCTGCAGTCTCCCACCGCAAGTCTTCGTGGCAACAGAAAATATCGTGTTGTGTTCATGCGGATCCCAGCTAGCGCCTACAATTCGCTGCCCTTACATGCAAGATAGCACGTACTCAGCAGTATGTGCTGCAAGAACCCTGGCCCGTGACCAGAACCACAGTTCACCGGAACTTGGAAAGCCTATCCGGCGATGATGGCCCGTCTCAGACATCAGAGACTTGATGACGTGGTACCGGTATCCATCCTAGATCCTCACTCACAGAGACTCACTCGGTCACGTGTCGCGATGTGCTTAAAATCTGACCTCAGGGCCGATCTGAGTTGATGCCCTAAGACTGTTATAGTATATTGGCCCATTAACAAAGAATCTGCTACATACATACACATACAAAAAATATCTCGCACAACAAACTCCAAACATGCTTTATAAAAAATAATAAAGGTAATACATGTACTGGAGAACAAAAATACCTTTAGCCCCTCTCTCCTTTTCCATACCGGCCGTTCCCACGTTTCCTGCGTGCACATTGTTCTCATGGTAGCGATTGATCTGAATTCTCACCTTATTGAATTCCCCTTATAATAAACCCCTTTCTAGACAAAAAGCAAAAGAATAAAGCAAGACATATACGAACAAGAACTAGACAAAAGCATGGTTGAAAAGTAAAGCAAAAGGACGAAACACCCCACCTGATAATAGAGACCACACGCAGTTACTGAAAGAACACGTTTGGAAGAAAGAAAAAGAGATGAAGAAATTAAAGCAAGAACCCCCCAACCGACCCCAAGTTTGTGACAAAGTAAAGGAATAATATCCGCCCAGCCCCCAATGGGTGAGCAAAATCTCATATTCGAAAGCTCAAAATTATCTGTACAAATCATCGAATTTTTTTCTGTTGTCGCTTATTTCAGCGGCTAAAACATCTACTTTGGCGTGGGTTGTTTCATGTACGCCATTGGGGCCATAGGAGCCATAGGAGCCATGGGTGCCATGGGTGCAACTGGAGCTGTCCCCACGGAAGGCTTTTGTATTGCCATAGGAGCTACTGGTGCAGTATTTTGCGCAGGAACTTGTTGTACATCCATATCGATGTCGCCCTCAGCATCAGGATCAGTATCAGGGTCCGGCGACTTTTGCTCACGCCGAATGTCTGGTGCACTGCTATTCTTATCCTTTATCTCTTCACCGAGTCGCATTACTGGTATGGATTCTTGAGGCTTAGCCAGTGGTGGTGGCGTAGCCATCGTTGGGAGTAGAATCCGTAACCGTTGGGTAATCAGATCTTGTAAGGCTAGCAGCTGCTGTATTTCGTTTTCGACTGCTGAATCGGTAGAGGCTGCAGGTGATAATGGAGGTATGGAGGAAGTAGTCTCCGAGTTGCACAATGCAAGAACTTCTGGACTTGCATTATCCTATACAAGACATTTAGTCAAACACTCTATTAAAATGCCATTGTTAAGTTCATACAAGAAGAGTTTGGATCAAATTTTTGATATTCTGATCATTCAATTGATTATGAGTCCGTTCGCGTGTAGATAGCTCAACCAATGCTGATATTATCTCTTTGTCAAATGCCGATCTATTTTCCGCCCCAGGAATGCTTGGCGGGGTCACCGGTGACTTGACTGGTTCACTCGGGGGCGTAGAGGCCACTATTGCTGGTTCACTCGGGGGCGTAGAGGCCATTGCAGCTGGTGGCGATTGCCCGTTTTCTAGGCGAATTCTCTTCTGTAGAGGTTCGTTCAAACTAAACCATAAAACGTATTAGACATGCTTCACAAATATGTTTTTATACGCATACCGTTTGACTTTTTGCAAGAAATCGAGTTTGATCCCTCGTTCTGGAAGTCGATATACAATTCCACTCATGACTATTTCCTCGAAGGCGTCTTCCTCTTCATTGTCGATTTCAATCAGGCCATCGTTCTTGTGGCCGCGACGTAGGCAAGTATCCACTACTGGCGCATTCTTAGGGCGTCTCCGCTGTAACTAAGCACAGATAAGCTGAGGAAAGATGATAAGATAGTGTGGAAAACTAACTACCCAATCCACATGAGCAGGGCACATCCACTTCTTCTGGCCAGAAGGTGGGTTTGACATTGGTGTCGGCCTAATACAATCGAGATGCCAGCTCAGGGGACAGTAATCACATGATATTATCCGCTGTCCATCCACAGCAGATTTTCCACAATCATGACAGAGAACCGGATTACCGATCTTGTCTTTTAGCTTGTGAGTGTCATATTCTTCAAGAAATCCACTCTTACTATAAGTCCCGAGTCGTTAGCATACTTGATTAAAGAAGTTCTTATCGGGGTTGAGGCGTACTTAAATCGCTGGGTTTTTGTATCTCGTGTGTCTACATATTCCCCAAGTGCCCCAGTTTCGACACCGGCGAAATATGTTCGAATATGAACGGGTAACCGGAAGGATGACGGATTCCTCCTCTTGAGGTCGTTGAGGAGTTCCGAGAACATCCCTCGTGGTTCTTTAGGAGGCGGGTTCGTCTGTGCTTGGCATTTGTTGCAAAACCACATCCCTTCGGGTACGTCTTCAAGCGGGGGATTCAGACAACTGAAATGAAAAGAACGCGGGCAACGCTCGCAGCACAGGAACCTTCCGGCTCCGTTGCACACGGCGCAAACATCCTCATTCTCCTGAATCTGTGCATTAATAATCTGGGTGGAATAAAGCGCTTTGCCGCTGAATGACGAACTGAGCACGATGGTGTCAAACATACCGAGACCTCTTCAGATCCATACCGAACTCGACGAAGATCAGACAACTCTCCTATACCTGCAGTTACAACGGTATTGTCTATTGCTGCTGCTTTCTTAACAGGTCTGGGCGCAAGGTTCATGCAAGTCAGCCACGTGTTCCGAAGATAACTCGCCACAAATCACAAAAGACACACAAGTACGCGAATGGAAAAAAAAATGAGAATGTACTGACGAGAACTTGGTCTTGTTCGTTTTACTCTTTTTCTTCGGGGGTATGGGAAACGTAACCGGTGGAGTTGTGGTTGGTGCCGCAGACGAGGCTGTTACAGGATGTACGGGAGGGGGCGGAGATGCTATACTGGGACTTCGTGCTCTCTTACGGCCGCCCCTTGTTCGTGTTGGAGGAGGTGGGGGATCACGAATACTGCTTTCCTTCTTTAATTCCTCATATGATGGGAGCTTCACCCGCTTCGCTCGGTGTTCTGAATCTCCATTTTGGGGCTGAGGCGTGCTTGCTGCGGTTGACGATGCGACAGCCTTGGAGGCATCATCAGGCATCTCTGAGTTGATGGATGCCATGTCAGACTCTGATTCATCGGGGCCTTCTTTCTTTGCGACGGTTTTCCGTCGTGAACCTTTCTTGCAAATCTTCTTATTGTCGGACACAGGTGACGTGCCATTCAAAGGAACCGGTGTCCCCTGCTCAGTGCTTGCACTGGTTGAAATGTCCTCTCCTTTTGCGCTTGTTGAACTACCTTCTCCTTTCACGCTTCCGGGTCCTTTATCATCCTCTCCTCCACCTACTTCTGCTTCCGCTGCCTGGTTTGATTTTTCTGCCTGGCTTGATTTTTCTACCTGTTTTGCTTTTTCTGCCTGGTTTGCTCCTTCGGCGTTTGCGGCATTCCGCTCATCTTTGGCCATATTTGAGAAAAATGGCCGATCGTCTTCCAGGGCTTCTGGGTTTTCTCGTGCTGTCCGTACATAGAATTGAAACTGTTGTAT